GGGGGTCGAAGCGACCCTCCCCACAGGGTCGGTGGTGGTACGCCCCGCTGGGTTCCCGCCTTCGGGTGGGGGCGCGCGCGGGTTGCCCTCAGCCGACTGAGGGGGAGCGGGGCAGGCCGAGAGGGTGGTGTCGTCGTCCGCGTTGGGAGCTGCATCTTCCCGCTCCGTCCGTCCGTTTTGCCCACGCACTGACGAGTAAAAGGCAATGCTTTGAGCGTTCTGTGCACCTGAGGCTGTGAGAGGGCCTTGCTTTTAGCCAGGGCGCTTTGTGTAGAAGAACTGCAGAGGTGTGAGCGGGAGAGAGCTGGGACTCGGCGGGGTTTGCAGTGGTGCCTGTGTCCTGGTGCGGCTGTCTGTGAAATCGGATGAGGGGATGGAATTCACCCCGCTTGTGGGTGCCGCTTGGGTGGTGATAATTTTGATCTTCAAACCACGTTTTAAATGTGCTCAGGGTCTTCAAAGAGTGAGTAATGAAAGCAAGTTTATAGTCAATGCAAATACCAGGTGCCTATCTTAAAGAAGTGTGGAGTTCAGAAAAATCATGCTACTATTTGAACTGCCTATTACTGGATAATTACTATATTCAATTGAGATACACAGTTAAAAATTAATATCTACTCATTTTGGTTATAAATACAGGTTTCACTGTTACATGAAGCACAAATGAAACCTTAAATTCCAAAATCAAATCATGAGCTACAATACTTTAAAAAGGATACTAAGAGAGCATGGATGGCAAGGGTTTAAAGAGAGATTAAATAAAGGTGTCAATTTTATGACAGTCAAAAATACATTTTAAATCTTTAATTTTCCCCCCGGTGAAATAAGTATCATAGTTCAAAGCAGGTGAGGGGTTTAATAAAAATGCCTTTGGAAGACATAACATATATAATAATACAGAAAAATAAAAGTGATGATTTTTCCTGCTGGAAAAATACAACATTAATAAAACAACATATTATTTTTAAATTTTAAAATGCCAAGTGCTGAGCGCATCCTGTGCTCCCAGAGAACAAATTCATACATTCTAACTTCTGGTTCATCTCTCTCATTGCAATTTTTTGTTATTTGTAAAAAGACTGTTCATACATTACCACACAGAAGTGATGATTTTGTCTGGAATAGATAGTTTGTCTGGTATTGGAATTATTGTTTCATGGAGCCTGATGTTCAGAGACAGTTTCAGTATTTTTGGAAGCATTCATATTGTGCCTTTCAGATCCATCTTGCAAATACATGTTGAAGATTCCATGAGTAGAATTTCTACTAAAAATAGGAATTTTGTTAATAATCTGGAATTATATAGGTGCTTTTCAAAATACTGTCTTTTTACTCATACCTTACTGTACATTTATGTGCTGCAGTGTCTTATCACTGATATTAATGCAACTTGTTTATAAGTAAGTGTGTAAGTAACTTGAAGCCTGAGTGTTAAGTATTAGAGCATCTACACAGGTGAAAGGTCTAGATCCTGCATTAATGTGTGCATGGTAAAAACTCATTTACTTACGTAAGATTTTTTAAGTTAACAAAACTTAACAAAATTCCATCTGTGGCCTCTAAAATATGCAGAGTAGAAAATGAGTAATTGTTTCAGCTGATTGAATTTCCTACTCTTTAAAGTGAGGACAGGAAGACCAGAGCGTTTTAGCAGCAAGGGTAAAGAGAAATTGGTCATACGTTTTAAAAGCGTCCTATGTGCAGACAACCAATACATTTAAGACAAATTGCATCATTGTGTCTATGGAAGTGGATTCAGGTTTATTTTTTAATTGCAGCAAAAAATTCCAAATTCAACTATATTATCTAACAGTTTGATAGATTTTGCTTGAGCTTTCTGACATTCATTGTCTGTCCTAGAATTGCAAGATCTTACTTTGACTGAAGTTTATCTTCACACACAAAAATAGTTCTAATAAAAAAAAAAGTGTTCTTTGGTCTGCTTACATTTGTGCATATGAAATCTTTTGACATAGTGTGAATGAGAAATACATAAATTTGTAGATCTATTTTTTTATATGCAGTGATCACTGGATTAAATGGTCCAGAAATAAATGAATCACAGCCATGAAGAAACTGTGAAGAAAATCAGTGTGGTAAACCTTGATAAACTTTTAGATAACTTCTCAGAGATAGAAAAGGTAGGTGAAGAAGGTAAATAATGTTGAAACTGCTATCTGTAAATATTTTGTGACTTTTTAATAAGCTTTTCAGGTGAAAAGATCTTCTAAGCTTTATCAGGTTATTCTTATTAATATGCCTTGTAATACCAACTTTGTTTGGAAAGTGTTTGTACTGCCTGTATCTCAGAGGGATATGAGTAACTTCACTCTGGAGTCTGAGAAGCCTTTGTTTCTGTGCTAGAATTTTAATGGTGCTGAGGCAAATTCTGGCTTCTCAGGAAGAGCGCGGAAGTGTCCCTTTGTATCAGAAGCTACTGTTGGAGATAACGGTATTACACAACTTTGCTGGAATTGTTCCTTGTTCTAGAAAAATGTCATTGCCATGGCAGGAGCATCTTCTGTTCTCATGTTCCATATGCATTGAGCTCTCTTTATTTTATGTATATGTCGGTTCTTAAAATATTGACCCATTGAGGAAAATCAGTGCTGTATTTCTTGTTAGACCCACGTTGGCCAGCTCTCTGGTGGTTTCCGATCGGTAAATCCATGTTAGAGATAATATAAAAGGGGCACTTTAAATAAATTTAACATTTCTCATGGAAAAGACCATATTATACCAATGCCTATTCACACCCATTACTCATGTTGGTGGTCAACAAAGGCATTGACAGCCTCATATGCAAAGCAGTAGAAAGAACCTTGCTGAGGATTGATCCAAACTGTGGACTACAGAATTGAGAAGAAATCGGTTTATAACTAGCGATGTAGGTCGTTGTTCTTAATTCTGCAGGGTAAACTCGCAATAGCACAGGCTTTCAAGCCTAGCATCGTTCTTCTCTGTAACGGAATTTCAAAATTCATTTGCCATCATAACAGAATGGCAAATAATACAAGTTTGTGACTGCAGTGTTATGAAATTGTTGTATTTTATGTTAATTTAAAATTCAAGATTTAAAACTTAGATCAAAAGATACTAATATAACTTTAGTCTTTTTCCAATTTTGTAGAAAATATCAGAAATTAATGAAGCAAATAACCTACTGGTTCTTCAGCTGGAAAAATGTAACAGGTTGTTAACATTAAGCCAATCAAAGGAGGAATCAGTAAAAGAAGGTAAGTGATTTTGTAGAAAACGGTATGGTATTTGCATATATTCAGAAAGTTCTGAGCAATATTTCCATTGTTTTAAGCCATGTAAAATACAAAAATAAAATAGCAAGGATCTAAGATACCGTGTGAAAATCTGTATTGCTTAGTCTTGGGTCATGTAATGGAATCCATCTCATTTGCATAAACCAGATAACTTTAATCCACAAACTATCTTGAGAACTGCATTAAAGTAACTATTTTCCAGTTGATGTTAACATCCATCCACTTTAAAGGATTTTTGAGTCCACGCAGTACCTATGAAAGTAAAACTTTCCTTTTGTATTTCCTTCCTCTCATTTTTTTCCTCTTCATTATTTTTCTGTTGATTGTTTTATTTCCTTTTCTGAGTACCTTTCCTATTCATACGGCCTCTTGAGCTTCTAGTGTACTGCCGCAGTTTACAAAGCCAGCACTTTTAAGCAAACCAGCATCAGTAGTTTTATTTAAAGTGCTAGCCTGTGACTAATGTTAATCCATAAGCAGCTCAGATGTCTGTATAGAAGAATAAGGTCAACATTTGGGAAAAGTAAGGTCAGCACTGACACTATGGTGCCCCAGCGGAGCTGTTCCATTGGTATCAATATGACAAATGTTATGTTTCACCTGGTCACCAGAAACATTTTGCCCAATGAGAAATGAGCCAGATGCATTCTTGAACGCATATTTTGCTGCTTTCTGAAAGGTCAAAGCTTGTCTGTAATTGGAGATGGCATGTCAAACTGGTGGGGCTCGTGCTCTGAGATAACATAAAGAATTCTATTTCTTAGTTGCTTATGTGATTTGGTTTGTTTAAGGGCAATCTGATAGCCCAGTTTGGGGTTTGAAATGTGTTTTCCCTGTACCATGCTGACTAGTATACTGAAGTTTTAGTACTCCTCTTTGAATTTTGCTCACTCCAGTTAATTATGTAAGGACCTTGGATATTGGTGGAATGTCAGTGTCTTGTTCTGCCTAGGAATTTGTTTAACTTCCAGAGGACTGAAAAGCTGTCCAAAGTGATTATACTCTTTATCTGTGTGAGATTTAATCCCTGAAGAGATCAGATTAAACAATATGACAGCCAATTTTGTGTTTATAATGTCACCATCAAGCTTCTATCTTAGTGACATTTCCAACTCGGTTATAAAGTGTAAGGAATAGTATATAATCCTTCAAGGTTAAGTTCAATTAAGCTGATACCACTGTTGTAAATGTATTCCATAGGCTGTACTTGTGTTACTGTCAGCTTTAATGTGATCAGTTTTGGTTGTATTTGTTTTACATTATATAGCAGGTGTCATTATGGTGCTAAATAGTTATGAATGGTAATGATAGTTAATATTAAGAGGATTCAGACTGTTCAATGGAAGCTAAATAATGAAATGGCATTTACTATTTTACAGGTGGGAATTATAAACCCCCACATCATAATAAAAAAGTTGCCCAATAAAGGAGGAATTAAAGAGAAAACTATTAAATTCAGATTTTCTTTTTATAGCTTTTCAGATGGGTATTTGAAAAGAGAAATAATATCTAGTATTTAGCATAGATTTGTGGTTATTTAGTCTTCTGTAGTTTTTAGAGTTGCTGAAAGGTGCATCTTTTTGTAGAACTTTGGTCTCTGACAAGTCAGCTTGCTACAAGTTAGGAAACAGGGTAGGAGAAAGCCTGGTTTCACACTGGGATGAGATTGCCAGTTGGTTTCACTTTGGTCATCACTGAGACTTGAATAACTTGGCATAATCAGAAATTAATTGGAAAAGCTGTTGTGTGAGTGAGGTTTGCTAATGGTGTTACTCAGTTATGCTAAGAATCTCATGATACAGAATAACAAGTGATAAAAAGGGAGGATGAAAACCAGTAGCAGTGCATATGGGAGGCATTTTTTATTAACAGTCATTGGCCCTAGTTGGCTCCTTCTCAGGGATGAGATCTTGGTGTCCTTTTGGACAGTTCTCTGAAAATATCAGTGGTCAAAGAAGAAAACACAGTGATAGGCATGATTATGGAAGAAACAGAGAAATAAACATCATGTCCCTGTAAAGTCTGTGATTTTCATGTAATACTCTGGTCCCCATGTTTCAAAACGGACATACCAGAACTAGAAAAGGTAACAGAGAAGGTGGCAAGGTTTGGTGTTTCAGGGACGAGCAAGGGACAGGGAATCGGGAAGCAATCATGTAACAAGGCCGACAGAGGTAGGGGCTTCACCAGCCGAGACTCACTCCCACTGTACCCATGCAGGGCTCACCCAGTGCGGCCTGCCAGGGTCAGCCAAAAATCCACATTAACAAACAAGTATGTAGTGATGGAAGTGGTCCAAGATCAAGAGACAAGGCTGAGTCAGGATCAGGCTCAGAAATGGTAACAAGAGCCAGACGTGGTCTAGTGATCACTAGCAGATCCCTAGTGATGAGGCAAGTCTGGAATCAAGCCGGGAAATCACTCCCCAGGTCATGACCGGCATCTAGATCTACATGGTATGTGGCTGCAACACAGCTGCAGTGTAGCTCAAGGTAGGCCAAGGGCAAAATCCTCAGATTAAAAGCAGCTCCCAAGGAAAGGAGAGGTAGCTGTTTCTGAGTCTTCCTCCAGCTTGCTTCAAGGTCACCAGCTGTATTCTTTCTAAGTTGGCCTTGAGCCTAGCCAAACACCCAGGAGGTGGGTGGGGGAGTATACACTTGGACCTCTCACAGATTTGGTCACAATTTTGGAACATCTGAAGAAAGGCTTAAGTTGACTGGAAACTTTTCAGCCAAAAGAGAAAGAATTGAGCTTATACTATTCATAGCTGTAAAATTATGAATGGTATAGAGAAAGCGACTAGGGAATGAATATTCACTGGTTAATGTAATAAGAGAACTAGATGGAAATCAAACTTGTTGATTGATTTAAAGCAAACAAAAGGAGGAACTTTTCCATACATCACAAAATACAGTTGTTAAATCAATTCCGCAAAGCTTGTGGAAAAAAGAAGTATAGATTGTCCAAAAAGATTAGAAAAATGCACATAACAAAACTTGACATATTTGTTAAACACAAAGACAGTACCTCTCACTTAGGTCTCCCTTATTTTTTGTGTTTCGGAAGCTGAGAGGATGTATTAAGCATAGTGCTTATCCAGCTTTTTTTCCTCTCTCTGTAAGTATCCTCTACTGGGTATTGTGAAGTGGGATAGTGAACTGGCTGGAACTTTCGTCTGACTCATTAGAGCCATTTGTTTCTCTGTTAATCACAAAAGACAATGCAGGACAGTCATTCCGAAACAGATCAAGAGGCTTCATTATTAGACAAAAACAGAGAGGAAGGGGGTTATACAAAACAGATTTTGAACAGAGAAAGGAAAATATGGACAAAAAGAAGAAATGGACAAAAAGACGAAATTATTCTTGCCATAAAACCTATAGGATAAAAGATAGAGAAAGTCAAAGAGCCAACTCGGGAAATTAGCAGCTGGGGTGACTGCGAGAAGGACTTTGGTAGCAGAATGGACTGAAAACAGATGAAAGTCAGTAGAGAGATTTGAGCTTTGTAATTAGTAGTGCCTCACTTCGATGAGAGAAGAGTGAAATGATTTGAGGAGATAGTTATGCTGATATAACTGAAGAGAATGACCTCTGGAGCTGTTTTGAAACTCATGATGGAAAAAAAAAATGTGGATGGCAGAAGTCCACGTAAAAATACCAGAGCAATCAGCATGAAATATGAACTAAAATTTCAGCAGAAATTAGTATGGATATATATAGGAGGCAGAACTGTTGGAAGTGAGGGATTCTGGTCAATGAGTAAGAGAGATTGCAGATCTGTTAGTAATGAAAAAAAGTAAAAAGCAGGAACTTGGAACAATGCGGGACGTCCAAGAGGTGGTTCTGGAAGCCACACGATAATAAGGAAGTGAAAGGTAAATGAGAGATGCCAAAGGGATAGAATGTATTTAGAAATTAAGACAGTTACCATGGCTGTTCTGTTAGGTTAACATGCTTACCAATAAGGTAAACACTTCAAGTATCATGACATGAAGTGCTTGTAAGTTTATGTTTTTGAACTGTATTCATTAATGGTGATCAGAAAGCAGAGTTTCACAAAACATCTTGGGCAGCAAATTGCCATAATCTGCAGCAGATGCTGTCAGAGGAACCTTCAGGTAAACAATCACCATGCTACTGGAGATCAGGAGTGACTGTAACGTTAGAATTATTTCAAAAGGTTGTTATGGTTGGTGTAGTATATAATGTTTCTAAAGCATTTTGCTTTTTCTTTTTGAAATGGATTGAAATAGTCTTTTCACCTTTGTCAAATTCACCTGCAACATTGACCCTTCAGAAGGGGTAACAGAGTACTGTGTGTTCAGAATCAGAGGACTAAAAGTGTTGCCACTAATAGTTCAATTCTCTGTAAAACCTTTTTGAGACTCAAAGCACTGTAGGACTAAAAACCACTATGTATTGTTGATGGGGTTATAGAGAGATCCTGTGCAGAACTGGAAAAGATGCAAGGGTCCAAATGTAGTGCTGATACTTCCGTGCTTACTGTGGCAACGGTTACCCTAACAGACTCTAGTCGTGAGAATGGCTTTTCTACAGTGATATTGCCAACTACATCTTGGGAAAAAAAAAAAGATTTCTTCTAGTCTTATGTCCCAGGCTGCTTTCCAGAACCCAGTTCAGCCATACTTCCTGAGGGTGTCATTTCTTGATGAACAGTGTCAACACATAGTCTTAATGTATGTACAGTCCCAAGCTGAAGAGCATTCTCAAGTTCATCCTATTACAAATGTAACACAAAAGCAAATGAATTTACACGATAGGTAAACAACTCAGCCTTAGAATGTAAGGCTTAGCAGTAGACCACAAAGCAATTTACAGAACAGCTAAGGAAAAAACATGAGAGACCACGTGCTGGTGAATTGTTCACATATGGTTCCAAATAAACATGCTGCTTACAGCAGAGGAGCAGAGAGAAAGAGCACTATGGAAGGAAAGGCTGTTGTTCTGCCTGCCCTGAAGGGTTAGTGGCTGCTAGTGGTGGTGGAGTGGAGGAAGTGGGATTTTATCCTAGCTGAAGAACTCATTGTTAGTATGAGAAACAGAAACAGGAATAGCATTTCGTGCCCAGAGAAGTCTCCAACAGGTATAAGTGAGAACCTGAGGGCTCCTTGATATCCTTGATTGCCACAAGTCTCTCTGTAGGACTGTTTAAGGTAAAAGAAGAATGAGAATTATGAAGGAAATGCAAAGGGAGAAAGAAAACTTCTAAAACTCAAGGGAGAGAGGAGAAAAAAAAACTTGAACCAAAGACAAGGTAGGAAAAGATAAGCAACTGGGCAAGTGTATACATGGTCTGAAAGATGGTAAAGGAACTTTGTTTTGTCTTGTTACATTCTTCACTAAACAAAAATGAGATTCAGGACCACAGCTTTTGTTCAGTGTAAATCATTGCAGATCTACTTAAGACAGACACAAGTCTGGCATTCTTGTTTTGTCATTCTAAACCTTTTCCATGGTGACTAAATGGACTTGTGGTGCAGGCTACAATTCTGAACTAAAATCTACCGTACTTTTTAAAAAGATAGCCATCACATTATTGTCTATGGAACACTTAAGGTGGCTTTATTTAGCATCTTCAGGATTGCATATTTGTTGCCTAGTCTTTCAAAGGTGTTAAAGGAAAAAGTGGTCGATGTAAATGCTGTATAAAAAAAGCCAGTAGCTTCAATTAAAAATGCAGATGGAAGAAACTGCAGTAAATTACAGATATTAAACATGGAAAAAGAGCACTTAGGCTGTTCAGTCTTTTTGTGTATAGGGCGTATTCTTCACAGGGAAGGAATCACACAGAATCCATAACAGATGCCATGCCAGTGATCCGCAAAGCTGCAACCATTTAGAAAAATTTGCTTTTTTCTTCCTTAATGTAGGCAAGCAAAACTTGTGGGTTCCAAGTAATTTTTTCCAGTCACAACTATAATTATATAAGGGATTTGCCATGATATGTCCTTTAGAGATAAGAAAGATAAGTAGATATTTTTGGGATTGAACAAAAGAGTGGCTTGCACTTAAATAGCTGTGATTCATTGTAAGACTAGCTGCTGTCCTATTCTTTATTCAAATGCATAGATGTCTTTCCAATTTGTGCATGAATGACAAGCATTTGGGTTTATTTCAATACATTTGCAAACGGGAGAAAATTTGTAGTGAAACTAGTTGGTACAAATGGGCCTGGTAACATAGTGCTTCCAACTTTGAATAGGATTTTTCCACAAATGCATTTAATCCAGTACAGGAACTGCGTGCAGGCAATGTTTTTGTGCTATTCGTGCTCCCTCTGCTGTTCTTTTGGAAGCATGGAACGGGAGAATACATCTGGCTAATGTACTGCAAGATTGAGTGAAAAACTGAATGTCTGAGCTGGGATCATAATTCATCTTCCTGACTCCGTCATTTTTCATGCAGTCTTTAATTATATAATCTACAATTTTAAACTCATTTTTATGAGATGAGTAAGTGTTATTTAGTGTCCTTTATCTGTTGTGGAAATTAAAAGCAACTTAAGAAATGCAGTGGTTCTCTGGAAATAGAAAGAAAGCTTTTAAGAGTAAGCAGCCTCAGTTTTAGTGTCCCTGATCTTCCCAGTCTTTGAATATTTTGTAACTTTACTGATATGGTTGCAAGGAACATAAGGGATGAAAATAGTATTTAATGAAAAACAAATGTTATGTTAAAGGCAGGCCACATGGTGTTCAAATATTTAAAACACAATTTTTAAAAATAAAATGAAATATAAATATGTAAACTGATAACAAGTTGCAAGTATATACATACACACACATTATTATTTTGTTTAAAATTAGATAGTGGGGATATAGTAGCATATTCTGAATCTCTCCATGTTTATGTTGAGCCACAAAATGAATGTTAATATGCACTAACAAGGGGGTGAGAAACTGCAATGAGTGGATAATGTTGGTCTTATTAAAAAAGAATCTTGGCAAACATGCTTCCAGGAAAGTAAGCTGCAGTTTCATTAATTACATCAAATTGCTGGAATGCTGATATGGAAAACTTCCGTTATTGCCCAAAAAACAATAACATCCTTATTTTCTGGCCAGAAACAAAAATGTAATCATTTTATGAAATTGTTCATATTGCTTGATAACATTGTTTTTCATCTATCATAAGACTAAAAGTTAAAATTAAGATGTAACCATGTAATAATGATCTGAGTTATTTGCGTAGCCAGGAGGAAGACTTAGACTAATATTTAATCCAGATTATTATAAAATATTTGAGAAAAGTTTATAAACAAAATGCAAAATTAAAATGTTGCATAAACTATTAAAAAATGCTGGATTTTTCACTTCTTTTAGAATGTACTACTCTACAGAATGTGATAAAGGGTCTAACACAAACCATTGAAAACCAGTGTAATGTGAAAGGTAAAAGCAAAATTTTTCTCACATGTACAGTACTGTAATTTAGATTAGCAGGCATTTAAACTTTTTGTTTATATTTACTGGATTTTTTTCAGAGAGAGAAACTGACAGGCAGCCAAACAGAAATGAAAAAAAAATATATCTAAAATCAGTCCTGTGCAGATTTTCATAGTCTATATACTTAATAAATGTCTGTTACTATTGTTCTACTTAGAATCCACATGTAAAAGAAGTTCTGGCTCAATGAGGGTTTTTTTTAATCAATAGTTTGGCTTTAAATTTATTTCAGCATAGCACAGGCAATTTTACAAAAAGTGAGAAAGTATCATTCAACGGTTGGACTGTAGTCTGTTGAAGTAGTTGTGCATATTTTTTATCACTTTGTTAAACCAGAGTGTTAATCCTCAGTGTAATGTTATTAAAATTTGGCTGTTGTACATAAATACTTGACAGTTACTCATTGCTATTTTAAAGTAAAATGTTTAAGTATTTGCTAGATCTTTGTACCACAGTTTAGGTACCTACTGTATGTTCAAGACATATTAGCATAAATATTAAAATACCTCTAGAAATTGGAAGTATATGTCTGCTTTTAATAATCAAAAAAAGCATTATCTGCTTTCTCTAAATTCTGGTTTTGAGGTACTACTTTCTAGTTTTGGGGAAACAAATACTTAAAAAGTTGTCATCTTCCCATTCGAAACTGTTGTAGATTATAATAATCATTTATTTTCTGAGCCAAAGAACTTTGCGTCTAGATTTTCTTGAATGCATCAGTTATCAGAAGGCTAAAGACAGTTCAAAGTAGTAATACCAGGCAAATACAATGATTAAACTATGAAATTTCTTGGTAAAAAAAATGGAAATTGAGATTATGTAGTTCTGTAAATGATGATTATCATGTCTACAAAAAACTTTCTTAAAGTGCAGACAAGTCAAAAAATGGAAGTCATTTCTTTATCCTGCTTTCATGCTAGTAATATTGTCAAAATGTACTTCTTAGTGTATCATATAGTTTTTTATTTACATAGATGAAAATGACAGACTGAAGGGTACCATTCACATCTTGGAAGAGAAATTGAAGGCTTGCAAACAGGTACATCACAAATGACCATGCTTTATGCAGAGGAATAATATTCTATCTCTACTGAAGCTGTTCATATATCTTTATGTGCTTGGGTTTGCTGCTGATACCATTACTGTTGCACTTTTTCTAATGTTTATCGTGTAAAACAGGAAGAGCTGTTCTTACGACACTATCAATATGAAAGTGAGGGTGTTAGAGGGTCTAAGAGGTCAAAACTATTGAGGACTGAGATCTGGCTCAGTCTAGGATGCACTTATTTTTTTTTAGCTGTATTTACCTTTAAATTCAACTTTACATTCTAAAATCTAATCTCATGCATTAAAATACATTTTTTATGTGGAAATAAGGTTTTGATATTCACTATACCTGCTGTACTACCAGAGAATCAAGAACTGTCTGTCTGTAATTTCTTTGGGAGTAAATGCAGCAAAGATGATGGGTCTCTGTGTCTCATAATAAATTCCATTTACCATCTCTCTACTTTTTACCTACACCAGTCATTTTTGGAAAGCAGGTAACACCTGCAGGGCCAGTCACAAGACATGTTAGTTCTCTGTGCTAAGACTGCACATCAGTTTACCTATGTAGGACTAGGAATCTCCCTGCTGATTTTCTTTGGTTGTATTTGTACTATGAGTCAGAATTACTTTTTTATACCAATAGAGCTGTTACCTTGACAGTTTGAGAACAAAGTAAGTAATGCCTTCTGAAAGACATGAGAAAACTGTGATTCCATACATTGTATACATTCATGGGCCTGGTGGATCTTCCTAGTGTTGTTCTGAAAGCACTTACTTGACTATGTCCACATACCATGTTACCACCAATCAGTACCTGCCTTTGTGAGTGCCTCTGAGCATTGCTCCGGTGAGTGGCTGCCTACCTTGTCAGAAGGCTCTGACGAGAGCTTTGGAGTAAGCACCTCTACAGTGGCAGCGACAGCCAGTTCCCTGGTAATTCTGGATGAGTCATTGGAGCAAACTTATAACAGGCACGCTCAAACTCTTGAGTATCAGTGCCACCAGCATCACTACTGCTAATACGACTGATGTTTCTACTGCTGCCAGTATGAAGTTGTAAAATCTTTGGTGCAAGCAATATTTTAAAAATTCATAGTTTAAAAAACAGTTTTGTTATACAACCTTACAGTCAAAAATCCACAAAAGTAAAACTGTAGCCACTTCAATAACTGCAGCACTGAATCAGATCCTGGATTGGGGAAAGGGATATAATATTCTCTTAATAAGTACTATTGCAATGAAGTTAACTGATAGTAATGCAATGAAATCTGCTACATTTTTCATCTGTGGACTTCAGCTGGGTTGTGTAAGAAGTAACTGGGCATTTTGAATTTATGAGATGAAGGATAAAACAAGTACTAAATTACAGAGTACTGTACATTTTTACATGAATGTTGTGCTTTGCAGAAGGCTAAGAGCACAGAAGCCTGAAGATATTTATGCAGCTTTTTACATTTGCAGGAATATAAAGATCAGATTGAGAAACTTATGATAGAAATTAAAAACAAAGAGGAAGACTACAAATTAGAAATAACACAGTTGAATTGCAATGTAAGAAAAAAATGTAAGTTCTCTGAAGACTGAATGCTATAGCATTGGGTAAAATGTGTTGTAACCTAGGAGAAGCTATACTTCATCTAGCATAAATACAAATTCCGCTACTTAGTGGAAACATATGAAATCTAGAAGTGGACAGTGTTTCACTGAACTTTCTCTTTGCTCAGGAGAGTAGACAGTGGCAATAAGGCAACAGTGCAGCAACACAGATGGGCAGAAATTTCCAAATGGGTAGAACAGGCACTGGGAATTTGGACCTAAAAATCTGAAGAAATTAAAGTTTGCATTGTATTGACTATAAAATTGCTTTGAACTACAAGCTAGACTGCTGTTAGAGTGTTCCAGTTACGCTCAGGAGAGAAGGACGTTATTTTCACAAATAAATTATACTGCAATGAGAAAAACTGATTCGAGTGTTAATTTTTTTATTACGGGCATACCTTAAAGAGTAGGATTTTTTGGTCATCCACTTAACTGAAAAAAGCCAGATGAATTCTTTGTAATATGTGATGCTTCTTGAAAGAGACTTTATAATAGTGGGGTAGGACAGGATGGTTTTCACATGAAATGTGTTTTTTGCTTGAATTAAATTGTTTTCTTGTGAAATACTGACCTGTTCAAAAAAGTTTTAATATTTTGGAAATGATGTTGATTTTCTATCTAAACATCTTTTATAATCATCATATTTGATGTTACTAGTTGAAATAAAAGAAGTGGAGCACAGAGAACAGAGGGAGAAAAAAGATCTGGAAATATTAGAGCTAACTAGGCAGCTGAAAATTCAAAATGAAGAGAAGCAGAATGAAATAATTAAACTTCAGATAGAGGTATGTGTTACAAAGCTGAGTTAAAGATTGGTTGGGCGTTGGGTAAACTTGGACTGTAGTGAAAAATGTTAATTAGTACTTAACAAAGTGATACGATGGAGCCTAAGAAACTTTAAAAACGATTTCTCTGTAGAGATCAGTAGCATGTGCTCCCTTCCATAATCATTATCTGAGTCACTTCTGCTCAGGAACTGAATTCTACCTACTGCAGAGAAACTGGCATTTGCTGTGTCTTGTTTTAAATTAAATTATTTTGAAAGTTTCTGAGCTATAAATAAACAAATACGTTTTTGGCTTATTTCTATTCTTTTAAATTTCTGAATGCTGGGAAGACACATTTTTTTAACAACTTCAAGACCTTAAAGACTTCTAATCTTGCAGAGATTTGAGTCACAGAATTCAATGTGAGCAAGTGCAGGGTCCTGCACCTGGGGAGGAACAACCCCATGCACCAGTACAGGCTTGGGGCAGACCTGCTGGAGAGCAGCTTTGTGGAGAGGGACCTGGGTGTCCTGGTGGACGACAGGTTGACCATGAGCCAGCAGTGTGCCCTGGCTGCCAAGAAGGCCAATGGTATCCTGGGATGCATTAGGAGGAGTGTGGCCAGCAGGTCGAGGGAGGTTCTCCTTCTCCTCTACACTGCCCTAGTGAGGCCCCATCTGGAGTACTGTGTGCAGTTCTGGGCTCCCCAGTTCAAGAAAGACTAGGAGCTACTGGAGAGAGTCCAGCGGAGGGCTACGAGGATGATGAAGGGACTGGAGCATCTCTCCTATGAGGAAAGGCTGAGGGAGCTGGGCTTGTTCAGCCTGAAGAAGAGAAGGCCAAGACGGGACCTTATAAATGCTTGTAAATATCTCAAGGGTGGGTGTGAGGAGGACGGGCACACACTCTTTTCAGGGGTGCCCAGTGACAGGACAAGGGGCAATGGGCACAAACTGAAGCATAGGAAGTTCCGTCTGAACATGAGGAAGAACTTCTTCCCTCTGAGGGTGACGGAGCCCTGGAACAGGCTGCCCAGGGAGGTCAGCCTGCTGTAGGTGACCCTGCTTCGGCAGGAGGGTTGGACTAGATGACCCACAGAGGTCCCTTCCAACCCCTACCATAAAGAAAAAACAATTAAAAAAAATTTTAAAAATCCCACGTGTATTTCATGGCTCAGGTTTTAAGGCACTGTCATTACAGAAACAATGAAATACCTCAAACCTTCCACATATTACAAAAGAAATAAGGTGTGAAAGTGTTCAGGCTGAGTTTTGCTTGAAACGTGAGGGAAAGGTGATGGTTTCAGACGATTTTAGCATCAACTGCATTTTCTCCTCCTGCAGACATGCGGATGTAGAGCCTTCAAAATTTTTTTAGTAGTCATCTTGTTCACCTAAGTGTATTTGGATTAAAATATTTGTACTTTTTACTTTTTTGCAATGTTTTGAGGCATTTTTTAGGGAACATATCTTTTAATTGCTCTTTTTTTTTACATAAACTTAAGTAGCTTCATTGTTTTAGGATTAAATAGTAGCTAAGCTTGCTAATACTACTTTCAGGTACAGATCTATTTTTTTAAAAAAGTGAAAATTATACTTGTATTATTTAAAATACTTTTTGCCCTGATAGGTTTGTAATGTTTTGTCTTTTTTCTGATTCTTTCAGTTCAATGCTAAATTAGCAAGAGTTCAGGATAAAACAACAAAATCGTTTTCAGATGCTTCTGTGTTGCCACAAAGTATCTATCGAAGGGTATGTTCTTTAATAGCCTGTAGTGTGCAGGTACTGAATATTGTTACAGCCTGCTTCCAACAGCATTTCCCTGGGGTTTTACTCCGTGTATGTTCTGCAACAAAACTTGGGAGGGGCCGTGCAGTGTGGCGGGGCTGGAGTTTCATGCTTCATGGGTCCATCTTACTCACTCTCCAACACCTTCCTCCCACCTCCAGACAGCTAATCACATGTCCCTTTGCACTGATGTTGCTATAGCTGGGGTTCAACAACAAAAGTCCACGTGTGCAGTAGTTTTAGATTGGAATTGTTAATCTGAGAATTTAAGATAGAAGTGACATAAATGAGTGGTATAAATTATGTATGTGCATTATTGGTTTTCTGGACTTGGGACTTTGGAAAGGCACAAAAATAGGATTCTGGAGAAGTCATCTCTGTAATTTTATGATGCAACATACTGAGAAAAATATCCTTATTGGAATATTTCTCATTAGTAATAGCATATTGTATTGTTACATAATCCTATGTGATGCTTAGCAATTAAGCCTTTGCTTGTATTTTTACAGAAGCTGCAGCATCTCCAAGAGGAGAAAAACAAGGAAATTGAAATTCTCCGGAACACCATAAGAGACTTAGAGCATCGTCTTAATAAAGGTCAAGACCTACACTTGAAACGGAGGCGATTTTGAGTAAATGACAGGAAGTATTTCTGTAGTACGTACAATGAGCAATAGAAACAGTTTTTATTGAGAACACTCTTGTCATATCCCAAAGGCATGCATTCTGTGTATATTCTGGGCTACTTTCTTGCTAATCAGCATTCACGATAAAAAGATTCAGGTTTCACAGGAATAATAATTTCCCTATTAAACCATCATTAATTATGGTGTACGCTTTCAAAGCAGTTTTCCTTTCTTGAATATTCTGTTCTTCATCCAGGAATCCTTCGAGCAACTGTATTTTCACTTCAACTCAGTTAATCAAAGGTTAGGAATGCTAAGCTACAGGGAAGTTATACAAGTTTAAGTGGTATATTACCTTACTAATCAATACAGATTTATTAAATTCAGCACTGTTACAAACAAAAATAAACATTAAACCAAGATTAAATTCATTCTGCCCCTCCTTCTTTTTGATATTGGAGCTGATTTTGCCTGAAGAGTTGTTAACTTTAGGCATGACCATACTGATTTAGTGGGATTTTACAAGCTGTAGTAGTATGTATTAATGGACCTTGATACCATATCTAAGCCACGAAAGTTAAGCATATAAATCTGTTACTTTAAAATAATGTAATTATTGCTTATACGTTACATTTGAGATGAAAAGTTATTTTGGCACATTGCTTAGGAATAAGCTTTTCTTGTACATAATTTGTATTCCTAGGTTAGAAAAAATCCCCAAAGTTTGGAATAAATTCCATCTTCTTAATAAAAATGATTAAAATATCTGTTTTGGTTGTCTTCTATTCTTGATTGCAAAACATCCAACAGGAGCCCCTAGGACATAGTTTATGCTCCTGTCCTCACAAATGCAAGCAGAATGGTAGAAGAGAAACAAGACAGACAAATTAATCACAAATGCAGACACCTTCCCAGTGCAACTGAAAAACAAACTGCTGGTTAATTAAATTCCTTTAAATTATGAAGCTTTTAGCTGATGGAACGTGACAGGTATTGTGTAATCCTAAGAGCACTGCTCTAAAATTCTACTTCTTTGCAATATTTTAACTACACACCCATCTTAGTATAATTTGTAACTGGGAGCAATAAAAACACTTGATCTGTTCATTTTTCCACTCTCACAACTATATGAATTTAGGAAGTAGGACTCCCTTGCATTTTGAAGGTGCTTAGTTTGTTTTTCAGGCTCAGTTTCTTGCATTTTCCTGTCACTGTCAGGTGTCACTAGTTTCACTTCCTCCTGCTGCTGGTGACTGTCAGGCAGCAGTGAGCAGACGACACTGTCAAGATTCAGTGATGTCCTCTGCTGCCAGCTGGCCATGTCACCTGCAAGAATTTGGAAGTGCTCCGCGACACTGTCAAGTAACAGAATTCCCTAGCTCTTCAAACAGAAGGTGTCGACAATGACAGCATCAGCTACTAGAATTTGAGTCTGATGCTGTCTGCCAATTTCAAGATAACTGGTTTTTACAGCTGGTCTTCCCTTTTTTTCATAGCTTTTTATCTTGTGTAATTTCTACACTTTCTCCTGGAGGAACAGTGTCTACCTGTGCATCACGACCTGTCTGACCATGTCTGTTATGGCCAGAAACTCTATGACGCTGACCGCTGCGAGGATGATGTCTTTGAGTTTCAGAAGGAGCCCGATGGTTCTCATTTTTGGAATGATGACTGCCCTCATGGTGGTGGCGGTGGTGGTGCCTATGTCTGTGCGGGTTGTGGTGATGTGAATGTTGACCAGTTGGTATGGGTTCTATCTCTGCTAGCTTTTCATCTGCTTTTTTAGTGATGTTTTCACATGCACCATCAATACCAGGTTCCTGCAAAACAGAAGCTTGCATTAAATACCAGGCATTATATTTAATTAAATTAGGTGTAAAATACTAATTTTCTTAACATTTTTGTAGAACCTAAAACCAATTTTTAAATTATTTGTGCTACTTTGCTGAAGAAAGATATGAATGCATCAAGAAGAACCTTGTTTTACAGCACCACTGATAACCAGACAGGGCTTTTAATGTAAACTTTTAGCAATTGTAATTCAAGTAATTGCTAATAAAAAGTATTCTTTTTCTAGGATCTCACATGTGACCTGCCTGAGGCCTAGCTCAAAAGGGATGATGGGATCAAAAATGATGCTTCTCATTGAACTTTCATGACTATGTATGTACATTTCTTGGTAATCCTCAAAGCAGTTCTGATCTTTAGTTACATCTAAAAAAAGCTACCCTTCCTTTAGAACGGTTACAATAATTTGTTGCCTTATATGATCACTTTTTTAATGTAACTATTGTATACCTTGTTTAAATGTAAACTAAACGGAATAGTAACTCAGACCAGCTCGGATTTGATTCCTAGGCTTTAAAAAACAAACTATTTGGTTAAGCACCTACCTGTCCCCAAAAACTAGAGTAGCTAAATGCTCACTACCTGTACGTAACTTCAGAAACAGGATTAGCCTCCAAGATTGCATCTGGATTTCTGAATATGAGTTGCATTTCTGTCAAGGGCAGGAATTTAGATAATCCATCTATTATAAATTAGATTGACTTCACTTTGAAAAAAATGTTTAAAAGCCCTTTGTCAAGAGACATGAAATGTGTAGCTCCTAAGTCATGTCTTTTTGGATTAATCACACTGAAATAATTTTTTTTAAGTACTAGTCAAATACAGTTTCCTTCCTAGTATGTATAGAATGAAACAAGGAAATACCGTGTAAGAGCAGTTTCCACACTTGTTTTCACAGTATGCAATCTTAATAGAGTCTTCTACGTATTGGAAAGACAGGAAGGAATAGGGCAGACCCAGATGGTACACTAGACGGCCGCATCTAAGGAGAGAAAGAACTTTGTGGTTACATATACCTAAACGGTACAGTCCCACAGAGAATATTTCTGTCCAAGGAGTTTGCAGGCAAAAACAACATCTGCTTTACAAACATTTACTCACTCAACTGCATTGGTCAGTAGTGTGAAGCCTGATTTCTGGCTGACGTAATAACTCTGCTGGCAGAAGCCTCTAATTTAGTGGCACACAGACTAGAAAAGGTACACTCATTACAGACCTATCTTGCTCATGAGGGGGGCTGTTTGCACAGTGGTACAAATCGCCACACGGTTGCTGCATCCTTACAAAGAATGTTTTAATGCAGCATAACATGTATTTTGATTGGAATGTGCATTGTGGTGCATCTGCATTACTGATTTAGCGTGCATGGGGGTATTTTTATGGTGCCCATTTGCCCCACATCTGTAGCTGAGTGTTCTGGTATGCCCTTCACTACACAACTGGTACATTCAACGGAGCTGGAGTAAATATGTAACGTGTACTCAAGGGCACCTTGTTACATACCCCACCTGCAATGTCAACACATGGTCCTCCAGCCTTAGGTCCCTACACATCTGCAGTGCACGTCTGGGAACAGCAACAGCCAAAGACTTCATTGCCAATTAAGTCACGATAAGGACATGCATTTCTAGAGCCTTAACAGATCACAGCCAAACGAGTGCCAAACCCATTCATAGTGCAGGTGTATCTTAGGTGTCAACACCACAGAACCATTCAACCTTTGAAATACCATAGGCCAGGCATCAGCTCTGAGGCCCGTCCACAGACTACACACAGCCTTGTCCTGTTTGTCTGTCATACAACAGCAATCTTCCATGCTTAGTCGTATTTGCTGCTGTAACATGCAATCACTTCCTACAGATCATTCCAGTGCTAGTTTCATCCCACAAGCCTAATTTAGCTGATTTGTTCAATTTCATCATATTACCAAAAAAAGGTTAAGTGACTTTCTAATTCTTTATTGAACTTAATTATGCTTCAGTATGAACTAAGAATGTTTGTCACGGTAACATAATACAGTAATTAGGATGGACATGTTATGAGTGCAGGACATGTCAAATAATTTTTGTCACATCAAAACTGAAAAATCAGAATTTCAATTAAAAAGTTATCATTGGTTCTGCCAAAAGATATATGTCCCAGAATCCTATGTTGAAAAAGCTATTTTCTTCCAAAGTTTTAAGTTCCATCTAAAGACTAATTTTTCCATGTGGCTACACAATGTTTTCAACAACTCTGGTCAAAATGTTTTCATGAGAACTCAGGTAGCTTATCTCATTTGATTCTACTTTCACATGCATGGATTTGATGAAGGTGTCTGACAATAAAAACAGTGGGAGACCAGAATCATGCTATCAAATTCTACACTCAGTTTTATTAATCTAAATCCATAGTAATTATAAAGAAAAGTTTATTTATCCCAAACTTACTTTAGCAAAAGCAGATTCTTCTTTTGTAGCTTCCTTTTCCAGTAAATGCAAGTGCTTTACTTAGTGGAACTTAGAAGTTGATTATGATGTCTTTGTTGTGAGGTAATCAGGTTATTTGCAAATCAATGAAATAATACAGAGATTTACAAAGCACTACTCTAAATACATGCAAATATTTTCCTGTGTTCCCTTCTAAACACCGACCTGTCATAGATGAGAAAGTCATCTTTGTTTCCATTCAAGGTAGTCCAGACATCATCTTGCTGTTCATCTTGCTGGTAGACAGTAATAGAGTCTGAAACACTTTCTTTCAGGAGGTGAAATTTCCTCCGGGAAGAAGGTCCCTGATGGTTGACAACCACATACGAGATATTGACCAGTCCTTCATTCACTAACTTCACTCGCAGGTCCTCCAATCTAGCGGAGAATGTAAAGAAGCAATACCATAAATCATTAGAGAATTGTAAGATTTGCCATGTTCAACAAAAGTTAATGTGCTCCATCTTTCTTTTATTTCAGTGAATGTTATTCTCCCCAGTTTTAATGGCAACAATCTAACACTATTAAAACATTCTCACCATTTGCCATCACTATCAATCATACTGTCACCAAACCAAGCTCTACAGTAGCTGACATGCCATAGGTCCTGTCCTTGTAAGTAGAATGCAGTATTAAGTAAAGCAGACATCTGTTTTCAGACTGAATTCAGTGTTATATTTACTTCAGTTCTTTCATGCTCTTCATGGTCTAACAAACACAGTTAGCTTATCTGATGTCCTTATTTAAATGCTGGGATTTTGGTCACCTGGTTGGTTAAAGAATGCACACTGTAAATACAGCAGGAAGGTGAATAATCAAGAACGCAAACCTGCAGTAACAGCCCGATAGCTCTCCACTCATCTTGACATGGCTATCTTCTACAATAGCCAGAAAATGAATATTACAGCAACTGGGCCAAAAGAATGGCTGTAGAATGTGTGCACGATCTGTCTGGCAGTTATTAGTCTTCCCCTTTGGTATCACAGAAGTCTTTCTTTGCTCTATAGTACAGAAAAGCTGCTTTCTTGCTGTACAATGTGGGGTCTTTTTCCTTTTCATTTGTATCCTTCCTATTGAATCACTCTAGAAAACTTTTTTTTTCCTTTCCAGTTTCAGGAAATAGTTTAGTGCTTGAAAGATTCTTTAAAACCTTTCTCAAATGTACAGAATCAAACCCAACTACCTTGAAAGCCAACCGCAAAGCCCACTTTTTACTTTCATGGAGCCAGAGATTTACCACCACTTTTTCAAATCTAGTTCTTAAAAAACTTGCAAAGACTATTCTAACATGAAGTCATGCAGCCTAGAGGAGGGAAACTAAGGTGTTATTACAGTGATTAAAATCAAGCTCTGAAACCGGTACTATGATTTTTTAAACCAAAATTATTTCACAATCACTAAATGAATTCAGGATAAGGGCTGTATGCAATTCCTGTCTGGGTCAGCTCAAAATTATCTTGTTGCTGATGTTGCTGTCATGATACTTAACGATTTGCACAGAATTAGGTTCTAGAAAGCAAAGCACCAATGTTCCAGGTCTTGTTTTAAAATGTAACACTTACGATTCCGTTGAATGCTTCATCTATTTTTCGAAAGGCCAGTCTTTACCTTGCCTTCTGGCTCACTCTTTGTATCTAGGGCCTCTGAACAGGGGCTGGGAAGCACACTAAAAGCACATTTTGATTTGCCTTTTTCCCCTACAGATCTTACATAAGAAACGAGTGATCACAGATCTCTGTTTCACGTGTGCTAGCCTTGTCAGAGAATTATGATGTTTCTTGGCCTCAGCATCTTTGCTGCATGAATCATCTGTTGCTAACTGAAGAATAGTCTTGAGGAACTCTTTCTGTTGGTCTTTCATGTGTTGGGTTTCATTAATGTCAAGCTGATCGTACTTTAATGTTGTAAATACAATCTGGAGAAGATGATCTCTCAGTCAGGACTAAGTCAAAAGATGAAGAATCTGAGCCACTGGCACAGAATGCTCCTGCAGAGAGTTAACCTGATCACTGGCATGGCGGCATTTGAGGAAGCTAGAGTCCATTGCATGCATCTGTAGCTGGGCACATGTATTATCCTCAGATGGCATTAAAAAATTGACCAGTCATGTTTTCAGAAAAACTGGGAAAGAGATTTACGCTTACCTGGAAGCCTGCAGCACACACAAGTATCAGCTAGCTTGGAGGAGAGCCACCACCGTCACTGAACCCCTAGAGTTCAGCATTGGGTCCTCCTCCCCAATACGCCATTCTGGGGCTTCCTTGCAGTTCTGGATCTCTGTCCCTCCTCCTGGGAGGAGACAGAGAGCCAGAACTATTCCCAGCCCTGCCCACATGGCTGGGCTTTATCTGAAAAGAGAGAAAATAAACAAAATGAGATCAATGCCTAAACAAAGTTCAGACTGAAATTCCCATAACAAAACACAGCAGGATACTGGCTCCATTCAGTTTAAAAAAAACCTGTAAGTACAGATTTGAGCTACTTTGTTTACTGCTCGATCGTATTTCTTTCATTTTGCAGTGGAGTTCCCCTGTAATAAATAGGCAGTACTTTTTTTTGTTGTATATAAACAGCTGAAGAGTAAGTGTTCCAAATAACTGGATTTTCTTTTAATGCTACTAGTCAGACTACATTGTTCCTTTCCCTTTGTGATTTCTTCTTGACTGTTTTTAACACTTCAGTGATTTTTAAGTGGCCTCTTTTCTTGTGTTTTGAAATCAGTAGTGCTGACCCTGTTTACACCAGTAAGAATCTTGATCAGTTCACTCCAGATTCCAGAGTAATTCCACTGACTTAAAAGTACTTGCACCAACAGCGTATTTTGGTACACAGCCAGTATGACAGAACCTGACAGAAATAAAAAAAAAAAAAAAAAAAACTTTAAGATTTTTACAAGTTAGTGTGTAGTATTTGGATCCTATTGAGAAAAATCTCTTAAAAAAACACCAGCACTGAAAATCATTTTGCAAAAACAAGCAATGAAAACTAAGTTTCAGTATTCCTCAAATCTTACAAAATCTCCTATCCGCACTATGTTTATGAAAATCAAAGTATACAAGAAAGTCTGTAACTATCTATCTTTTCCTTTTATTCCATCAGCATCATAATTTTGATTTAATATGTTCAGAAAAGACTTATTATCAAGAAATATATAAAATTATAAAACTGATCCCCAACATGTCCTAGGTGGTGGAATTGCGTAATTTCACCACTCTCATCAACGTCTGACAGTAAACACAGAATGTTTTGGAAACACTAAGTTCTGATAAATAACACACTCATCGATCTTGTCATATTCTACATAAAAATAAAAAATTTTAATAACTGATCTTTTAAAACAACAGCCAACTGCTGCAAAGCCAACATAATTTGTTAAATCTGTCTGTCCCTTATGTTTCTTTCCTGCAGTTCGACCAAAAGCATTTTAGGTACAGTACTTTAAGGGTTAAACTGTGTCCCAATAGATATCAACAGGGCCATTTTTTTACTCTTTCCACACATCTGGAAAGCTGCCCGCCTTTATATCCATTATAAACACATGAAACTCCTATGACATGTCGAGATTCTTCTATGCCTCTATAGCGTTCTGCAGCACACAGTGCCCAGCAACAGCTGTCTCGCCCTGTGAACGAGAAGACAGCTATGTTCTGAATTATGCTTCTCTTTGCATTTCAACTTTCAAGTTGGTTTCCAATGGAAATTTCCACAGTCAGCCTTTTCAGCCAAAGAAACACACAGACTCTCTGCCAAATCTTAAGTCATGAAGCTCTTTCACAGCAAAACCAGCACACTTACCCGTTCCTCCCCCCTCCTTGGCAGCTCTGCTTAACTCCGCAGCAGAAAAAAACTGTGTGGGGAAGCGGGCTGTGGTATTTATATGGCTCTTGTTTATCTCACTTTGCAGATACGGTTCAAAGTTCAGGGAGCTTATTCTGAACGACCTTGCAAGCAAAACAAACCCCTTTAGCAAAAGTAGCCAAAATATTTCTCCATTAACTAATTCCAAGTGGAAGCCATTTATTGTGCAGAATGGCAAGGTATTTTTAATTTAATGACTTTGAATATCAGGTTTTGTTGTTCGTCAGTCACCCCAGTCAGCTGGAGGTAGTGGTACAGTCAGAGGAGGGGGGTGGGCCAAAGACTCATTATTTTCTGAGCACAGTGGTAACCACAGTGAGAGGAGGAACGCACTTCTCTATTTATAAAAATGCTGAGCTAGCAGGTTTTCTCTGGTATGCTTTATCTGATATTTGCCTTAGAGAATGGTAGACCCTGTCTGAGGGCGTGTGCAGTACAGAGCTCCTTTTGCCCAGCTGCTCCTGATTACATCACTTGGCTTTAAAACTTATTTCTGCAGAACCTGCCCGTTTATCAGCTTCTGTTGAAGGTTAGAGGCCAGGTCTTCAGCCATTTACATCAATGTAGCTACATGAAAGCCATGAAGCTTTCATGCCAATTGGCAACGGCCACTTAACTCTCTGTATTACTCTGTTATGGTTTCTTAACACCATCATCATTGAGGTATCTGTGGACATTCAGGTTAAACTGTGTCTTGCTCTCTTTCCTCCGTAAAATAATTGTTTATGCATGGCGTTTTATTTTGATAGCAGTTTGCTTGAGTCTGATTTCCTTCAATGCACATGTTACATGTGTTTACAGCGAAACAAAAGTTTAAGAACTTGGTGTGCCCTCAGAGTGTAGGGTGGTGAGATTTGTGTCGCTTAGTTCTGTGGCCTGAGACTCTGTCTCCTGCACTGATGAGCTTTATGCTTCTGGATGAGTGTGAGAAATGGAACTGCCGACCTTGGGGTTTATCCTGTAGAAGTCATATGCTCAAGTCAGTGGAAAGAAGGACAAAGATCTGAAGTTTTATTCCGTAGTCTTGGAGGACACGATGCAGAAAACAGATATCAGACTGGGACTGTTTTTTTTAAAAAAAAAGATGACATGTGCTCACATTCCTTATATTAGGAAAACACATCCTTGTATTCTTTGCCAGGTTGCAACCAAGCCCTCCTAACTGTGATGATGTCATTTACTTTTCTAAATGATAGATCATTTGCTGAGCCTCCTGCCTCAGGATAGGGTGTTGATTTTCAGTGCTAATAAAGCCCTTCAAGGTTGGCTGGAAGTTAAGTATTTGGTATGCATTATGTCTGTCAATTCCCAAACCAGCACTGAAGCAGTCAAAAAGAAATGAAACAGGTACAGCTCTGTTAACAGGCAGAGGAATAAAATGCAGCTCAGTAGTGACTGACAACTTGTCTGTTGCCAATTATTGCAACACAGGTGGAGATCCTATCAAATAAAGAGCAATATTCCATTCCCATTTCTTTTTCAGCTTTGTGGAGGGGGGATGTGCATACGGCTTCATTAACAAGTGCTGAGCCCGTAAGCCATATGTAATACCACTGAGTGCTGCTGAGACCAGCAGCTCACACGTACTGAAAAGCAAAGGGTCCACACAGAGTAAACTGAATGGAACCAAGTAACTTCTAAAACAGCTATCTTGCCATGGAAAGCACATTGAGGATGGAAATGTACAGTGGTCACTACAGAAAAGTTAGCATTTCTTACCATACAGTATGCAGAGACACCCGCAAACCCTCAGTTCCCTTACAGAGAGATAAGAAGCACTGTTGTTAGCAATTATTACTGTGCTAATAAATACTATGTATTTTATTATTTATTATTATAGAATCATAGAATCATGGAATGCTAAGGGTTGGAAGGGACCTTAAAGATCATTTAGTTCCAACCCCCCTGCCATGAGCAGGGACATTATAGCCTTTATAATATTAAGGAGCGCTTAACTACATTCATAGCCATAAGCCATAAGCATCTTGCCTTATAACATTCACCTTACCTGAGATCATTGTTCTGCCTCAAGATCTGTTGAGGAAAAATGTTGCTCTGTCTTAAAGCAAGTGGTAGCAATTATTGTAATGTTGGCTATGGGTTTAGATAGATCTAATTCACTTGTTTTAGAAATGTATAAACAGTAAATATTTTTAAACTTCAATCTGAAGTATGACCTTTTCTGAGTGGAAAAAAGTCCACTTCCACATTTTTTGTACAAACAGTAGAATAAAGATGTTAATAATTGTCAATTTTATGGTCTAAGAGTTTGACCATTCCATTTCTTATATTAGTCCCCCTTGAATTTGTAGGCTTCTGTAGCCCTTTGTCCACAGCTTCTAAAGAAATAATTGTCTTAAACCTTAATTTTGCCATCTACTGCAAGTATTTTTTTAGTTATTGAGTATGTTCCAATCTCACTGCAGGACGCAGCTATGAACTCTAATTTGGACAAGTCTTCAGTTTCAAACAATAATTTTTATAATTATCATCCTGTTTCTACTCACTTTCTTTCTTATGTGGGGAAAATAATGGTCCTGGTGAAAATAACACCCCCCTTCCCTTCTTATTGAACTTATACTATCCCCTTTTTTGGCATGTTTCAAATGTTTCAGATTATCACAGCACAGAAATACCCGTGTCTTTGAAAATTAACTCAGGTTTGTTATTTCTTTTATCTAGATGGGTAGCGTATACATTTCTTAAAAAAAATCTCAAATGGACATGGAATTATGAGGCTGTCAGTAATTATATTCTGGTAAAGTCTGCTGTAGTGATTTGCAACTTGTGCGGATAATGAGAGGACAGGGGCAGAACACAGATCCAGCACGAATTCTATTATGAGACCTTAGGACTTCAGTGTCTGTTTTGCTCCTGTGACTGAAGGATGTCACAAACGGATTTCAAAGTCCATCGGCAGATTGTCTCTACTGATTTCTTCTCATGTCTTCTCATTTTATAACAGTGTAACTGTGTCAACTCAGTGGAGTTACTCATGCTTTATAGCGGAATAAATTGCAGCAAAAACAGGCTGCTGAGGTTTACTTAATGCTTACACAAACAAATTTCCATTTGTTTATGAGGCCTTAAACTCATGGTTAAGTGCTGTAAATAAAGGATAATTTAAGTGAAGGCTAACAAGATATATTAAAGTAAAATCAGCAAAATAATTAGAACCACAAGTTCATTAGTTAAAGTACCTCCCAGAAGAAGGCTGGTGGTGCAATATTTGTCTTGTGCTCCTGTCATGTGAGATCCAGAGCAGCGTAAGATAACCAAATGCATACTTCTCGGAATTGAAAGGAAGCAACAAAAGCTGACATCCTCTGATACAGGCCTGGAGATTGTTTCAGTGAATGAAGAAATAGCTGATGCATGCAATTGTCTACTTAAAAACAAAATGAGACTTAAAGAAGCTCTGATCTTGCAGATGAAAGTTTTAGTTTTCTGCTTGAAAATTCCATTATAATAATGAACCTA